CTGTGAATGGCACAATTTTTTGTTTTTAGGGCCAATGTGGGTTTTCTGTGGGACTGTGTAAAAATGTGAAGTACAATAAATGCTTGGCTTCAATTTGCCAACTTGAACCGGAATTTACCTGTGTAGATATAGGGCTCATAGTTGGAACTTAACATGTGTTCCTCTTTATCTTCCCACCTCAGTCTCTTCGCTCGTTTTCCCTCTTTAGCGTCATCCCAGTCCTTTTTTTCTATTGATAAGGCAATTTCTTACAACCCAGTGGCTTCAATACGTATGTGATGATTGATATGCATCCTATATGACCTTTCCCCCACTCCAGGCTTATCTTAACATTTTCAATGGCAGGCCCAAGACCAATCCTCAGGTTAACATAAACAAAACAAATCTGCTTCCTAACTCCATCTCCACCCGCAGACTCCCCCATCGATATCACTCAAAAATGCTCAGCAGTATTCTTTATCATTACTCAAACCCACACCTCTGAGTGACTCTTGTTTTCATCATTCAGCCCCACTAATCAGCAAATCATACTGACTCTTCTTTCCAAAGGTCTTCCCTCACCCCCGTTTACCCGCTTCTTTCCATCCAGACCTGCCCCCGCCCCCGCCCACCTCTGCTCCGAGCCAACAGCATCTCTCTGCCGTGACACTGGCCTCCTAACTGGACTCCTGCTTCTAGTCTGGCGTCCACCCAGACCTCCCGCCATTTGTTTTCCATACGAAAGCCAGAACAGTTGGATGAACATATCTTGGAGTTACTTGAATTCAAGGCAAGGTTGACTATTATGTGAAAGCCTTGTTCAGTGGGAGTTCCAAAAAGCTGTTTCTTTTGGGTCCATGTTGCATAAATAAGTTTTGTAGGCATTTGATGAAATAATACAAGTACCTACCTGTGACTGTAAATGTTTCTTATAAAGCACATATTTGTTACACATATGCACTTACAATCACATATATAAAATAATGTATTGCTTTAGAATTTTTTCATTATTACTTTTCAAAAAATGTATTTCTTTCAACAGTCCATGGGCCTCTTTTTAAACTGCTTTATTGAGAGGTCCCCACAGCATGTTTGACGTCAGTTCCCAGAGTTTGTTCTGGGTCATCTGAGACAGCACCTCAGAGTATGGTGTATCATCTTCTTTTGCATTTAAATTGTCCCAGAGACAGCATAGGATGCTTTTGCTGAAAGTTTTATCTGAATCACAAGTTCTTTTTTAACAGTAGACAGGCTTTTTTTTCTTCTGGGTTTATTTGTAATCTATGTAATTTGGTGTGATTATATATTAAGTGGGTACATATTTTATTCAGCACTTTTCATCGTTGTTTTGTTGGCGGTGGGAAGAGTTGTCTGGGTAGCGTAACCCGCCTTGACCAGAAACGGGACGTCTACTGACTTCTCTCTGAAGTGCTCTCTGTTCGGCAGTGCGAGCACTCCTGGTTTTCCCCATTCTTCACCGGTCACTCTCAGGTTCCTTCGCTGGTCTTTGTTCATGTTTAGCCTGAATAGTAGTGGTTCCAGGGCTCTGTCCTGAGACTGGCATTCCCCAGGTGATCTCATTTAGTTTAATGACCTCAAATACCACCCGCCCAAGGGTCGCTTTCAGATTAATGCCACCAGCCCAGCCCTTCCCTAGGAACTCAGACTTGCACATCAGCTGCCAACATCATGTCCACATTTCCACATCTGATGATGGTTTTTCTACCCCAGGCTTGCTGTTCCAGCAGTGCGCGCTCCTCTCAGTCAGTGGCCCCTCTGTTCTTCCTGTTGGTTAGTTGCGTGGAGTTACTCTCGGTTTCTCTCTTTCATGTCCAGTCAATAGCAAGTCTAATTATTTATACCTTAAGAAGATTTCTAGTGTCTCATCAATTCATACCATTTCCACTCTACCACCATCATTTTTTTTTTCAAATTTGTGTTTCAGCGTCACTATTTTTTAAAGAAACCTTTTTTTTTTTTTTTTACATTTTATATATTTAGAGAGAGGGGAAGGGAGGGAGAAAGAGAGGGAGAGAAACACCAATGTGTAAGAGATAAATCTATTGGCCGGCTTTTGCACGCCTGCAACCCAGGCATGGGTCCTGACCAGGAATTGAACCTGCGACCCTTTGGTTTGCAGGCTGTCACTCAATCCACAGAGCCACACCAGCCAGGACATCCACACTACCACCGTAATTTCTTACCTGAGCTTTTCAGTTGCCTCTTAACTGGTCTTCTTAGGTTTCTGTAGTCTGTACCCAGTCTCCAGAATCCTGGTTTTAACCACAAGTCAGATCGTGCCGCTCCTCATTGAGAGTGAAATTCAAGGTTCTTACCATGGCCCACAAGGTCTGGAGGCTGATTTGCTCTCTGACCTTTTCCTCACTGTGCTCCGGCCACACAGGAACACACCACGCTGTGCCTCCTGACTAGTTGGTTTACTCTTCTTTACTGTTTGCGACAGGACTTATCACCATCTTAACTATTTTCTAGTTATTTATTTGATTGTCGATTTCTTCCCCCTTGAATTTGCAGTCCATGAGCTGTATACACATCTACTAGAGAAATGCTTGGCACAGAGTAGACACAACAAATATTTATTGAAAGAATAAATGAGATATCTTCGTCCTTGTTGTCATTGAACTCATTTTACTGTAGGCGCTGCACTGGTGGGGGTACTAGAGAGACGAACAAGTATAGGACGTGGCAAAGTCTGGCCACAGAAGCATGGAGGTACGGCAGGAGAACATTCTAGAAAGCAGGTGAGGGGAGCATAAAGATGGGTGTGTGTGGAATGAGCATAAGGATTCCTGTGGAGATGGGAGTCAGAAAATTGTGGTCCAATTAGTGGGAATGAATCCTAGAGATAAATGGAGAAAAATGGGGGTGGGGAAGTAGACTGGGAAACAGACAAGTCCTGGGGAGAAAGGATCCTATTAAATGTAACAGGGGTGGAGGGAGAAAAAGATATTGATACGGTTTAAAAAATTTATTTTTAGAGAGAGAGGAAGGGAGAGAGAAAGAGGAGGAGAAACATCAGTGTGTGAGAGAAACATGGATTGGTTGCCTCTGAGAGGCCCCCACCCTGAGACCTGGCCCATAGCCCAGGCATGTGCCCTGACCAGGAATAGAACCTGTGATCTTTTGGTTTGCGGGGCGACGCTCAACCCACTGAGTCACTCCAGCCTGCGCAAGATCTTATTTATTTGTAGTTTACTTGGATTACTGTTCAGATTGTTGATCTTTTTAACTGGATACCCATGTAGAACACCAAGAAATACCCTGCACAGTTTTGTTGTAGAGCAATTGTAAAGTGTTTATGGGTACTACGCTCAAATGTTCCCACATTTTATTTCCTTCATGGAATGTGAATTCTTTTCGTAACTAATGTTCCCTTGTCGGTAAGGGGAATTTATTCTATAGCTTGTGTAAACACAGTCTGCAATGGGGAAGCGTTGGGGAGAGCATCCCAGAAGGAAGAAATGGAGCATCATTCTAGAGCTAGTTTTCTATTGTTATGGGTCCCATCAGTCCTTTATTTCTCCCAGCTGAGGTAATGGATAGTTTCTTATGTGTTAACAGCCTGTACTAGTGTTTGAAAAGTATTTGAGTAGCTTTTGCCTCAAAGATATTTCAAACTATGGTAATTAAGCAGCACATTATTAAATTTTGTCCTGGATAATTTAAATGTTAGAGAAAAATTGACGCCTTATAGACAAGTGTGAATTTGCTTTTTTACACTCAGCAGATTTTGGATGTCACTGACCATGCAGTGGTGGTGCCCCATTTCTCTGGTCTACTCATCATCCAGGAGATTTGTGCTCTGAACTCTTGAAGCAGTACTGATACATTTCTGCTGATTTAGTAATTTTTCTCTGCATGTGACCATTGTTAGATATTTGTTAGAGTGTGGGCTAGGGCTGTACTCCATGACTAGAACAGAGGATGCCACCTGGCTTATATATGGAACTTAAACTTTTGATTTGGTTTTGTCCCCATGTGTTCGCAAATAGGGCACCGAATAATAGTAAGCAGAAAGGCAAAACCATGAATAAATCTATAAGAAAGCCACATGGATTCTAAGGGTTAGGATTTCAGTATACTTTGCGTGTATTTATTATGTGGAAAACCACCTCTTTCCAGTTTACAGTGGGAGCTGGTGGGAAGTTTTTTCTGCGAAGTAGACGTTGGCTGGGATGAGCGATTATGGCAGGGCTGGGGAGGCGGATGGGGAGGGAGTCCAGCAGGGGAGGCCGCCGCACAGGGGCCTGTGCATGACGAAGTCGGTGGGCTCATCGCCCTGTGGAGAGTTGAGGGGAGTAGGGACTTGGTGAGATGACTGGTAGGTCCAGCAAAGGGAATGAAAATGGGCCTAAAACCTGTCAACAGCACCCTGAGTACGTAGAGTGATGGTCCAGTATGATCCCTGGTTCTGGGGTGGAAACAGTTGGTTCAGAAATTGATGGTAAATGAATGCCAGTGATTTGGAGAAGAAATAAGTTTCTTAAAAGACAGATATCAGTCATAAAACTACCGGACAAAAGGGCATGTGACTCCAGTGTTGGAATGAAGCTCTTTCTTTGGATATGTATACACGATTTCCTAGAGGAACTGGGGTTATCTCGCCGGCCTGAGGTTCTGAGCAAGTTGAATGCTAATGACGACGAAGTACAGACAACTTGTGGTTTCATGAATCTTTGGAACACCACGAACCCCTCTTTTCTCCAGATGCCTTTGTTTGCCTTTTACCATCATCTGGGGAACGTGGTGTCTTTCATTGGCCAAGGGCGCTATTTTATATTACACTGGCAGAGATATCAATTGTCTTCTTTTCCTTCTGCATAAATGTTTGGATTTTTCTGAGGCAAAAATGGACTGTACCTGACAAGTTGCTCCAAATCTAAATGCCAACGTGATTGAGTCTGTGCCCCCTGGAAACACTTGCCTCGGTGGCATTTTCAGACAGAGGCTATCAACTCTTTTATCATGGGGGGTAATCTGTTGCACTTTTCTGTATGCAGAATGGTGATGTACATTGAGAGAGACAGCAGGAAGACCACTCCAGGCAAGGAGCAGCAGAGCGGCAATGAGTACCTGTCCAGATGCCTGGGCCTTCTCATCCGTCACGTCACACAGGAACTGCCGCGGGTCCTGGGTAAATGGCAATCTTGTCCTCAGGCCCCTTGCCTTCCCATGACGTGGCTTTCAGGCATTGCCTCTGTTGTATTCTCGCTGGCTTATTATTGCAGGCGAGTGCAGTGACACTTTTTCTTGAATGTGTAGTTTCAAGATTCTGATGTGCCCCGTCTGTTTTCTTAGGGATTTTGCATCAGTGACAGGGTTGAGGTAACAAGCAGGCTAAAGGCGATGTTCAGGTGTCATCTGTGGTAAACTGGTGATTTTGGAAAAGTAATAAAAGCAAAGCATTTTAATTACTTAAAACTGGCCTTACGCTATTTATTTTGGGTACTTGTCTCAAGAGTTCCCTCTGCTTAATTTTGGATAAACATTTTCCCTTCAGAGGGGAGCCACAAATTTATTTATTGTTAAAAGAATTTAAAGATGCATAAACATTACTATTTAATATTGAAGACTTCTGATGATAGTTTGGCAGTTTATTTGGTTTGAAAAATTTAAAATAAAAATACCTAATAAAGATCTGTAAAGGCTGTTTATTACCCAAGAAATTAAAATAATCCAAGGCATGTGTACTTTTAGTCTAAATCCCATTCTGTGCTTTTTCAGCAGATGTAACATTAAACCAGAAATGTTTCAGACGTTAAATTGATTCAATGCATTATAGTAAAGTGTACTGAGACCCTGAAATTCATAACAGTAAATCAGAGTAATGAAAATATCTCCATGGCTGACTGCCGTGTCTTTTAGCTTCTTACTGATGCTGTGGGAGATCTTTTTGCTTCTTAGTGACTGAAAAAAGAGCATTTCAAGATTTACTTATTTATTTTTTTTATTAATCATTTTTAAAAACTGTTCTTCTGTTACAGCTGCCCCAGTTTCCCCGTTTGCCCTCCTCCGCCCGTCCCACCCCCCGCCCCCCGCTCCCAGAGACAGTCCCCACCCTGTTGCCCGTGTCGGTGGGTCATCACACGTGCTCTTTGACTAGTCCTGTCCCTTTCTTTCCACCCTTTATTTTAGATCATAACCTTTCTTTAATCTTCAGTCTGAAGACCATGATCCATCTGGTTAATTGGTAGTTGAGTTTCTTTTTACTAGACGCATTCTGTTCAAGGATAAGATTCAAATATCCACGACACAAGTTTTATTTATTATTGGATTTATCATCCAATGAGAAGTTTTCTGAATCAATCAGTTTTTATTTCCATCTATTCCATTATTAAAAATTGTGATCTGTAATCTGTTCACTTACCATTTTTAATATTTTTCTCTTCACCAAATAATAGGTGCTTATGCTTGACATCTGGAAAATACAAAATAAAAGAGAAGAAAAATTATTTCTAAAACCACCAGTCTACCATACTATTTATACATTCGATGTTAAATTTCTAGATGAGAGGTTGCGTTTACATCCATTCTGTCCCCAAAGCCACAGCATTTTGTTATAGTCTCAATATATGTGAGTAAATAACACAGCTTCTGTCCACTTCACTTATGTGGAGAGTCATTCCCTGGGCAATCCCACTGGGTCTCCAGCAATGACCAGGGGTCCCTAAGTGTTTGTGGTCTTTAACCTTCCTGTGCACTCGGGGCTGTGCTCTGCAGGTGACGTTCTCAACGCCTTGGCTAACGTGTCTGGTCGTAAACACCCATCGACCGTCCAAGCGAAGCAGCTGAAGATGTGTCTCCCCCTGATGCCCATAGTGCTTCACCTCGTCACCTCTCAGGTATGATCTTAGTGAGAGAAGAATAATGGAATTGTGACTCCCTTCTTTGTAAACTGGAGCTGCGACATGCCAGCTCAGACAAAACATATTCCATTTTTTTTTTTCCCCTTGTACGTGGCTTTCAGGATTTAATCTATGGAAACTCTCATCACACAGGTATTTCGACCTCAAGTTGTCACAGAAGAGTTCCTTTTCAGTTATGGAACTATTCTTGTGAGTAACACTGAATTCTTCATGTTCCTAATAAATATGTGGCTGTCTCTGCTGTTTGTGGAATTTGGTGTCAGAATGAAGTAATTTAAAAGTTCTTGTGGTATTTATTTGTCTCTAGGGAAGTGACCTTTTTATATTTTTATCTGTTGACTGTAATAAAATTTGACATTTGGACAAAAATACATTTTCTCCTGATAATGTATTTTGTTCACAGACAGACCCAAGTAGGGTAAATAAGTCCATAGAAAACTCTGTTATCGATTTTGGTATTAAACGTCATGAAAAAATTTAAAATAATAAAACTGGTGAAAATGGAGTGCTGGGAATATATTATCATCATTATTTCCTTGGCTTACATTGTCCACTTATATGCAGTCTCTTAATACAATGGCATTTCTGTAAGTAAAGCTCACTTTAACTTTTTTTTTTTTAATTTAATTTTGATGAGGTGGGAACAAATCATTGTGCTATCTTTCATTCCAGTTTTTGTTCAGGAAAAAAATAGTCTTTTTGTTCCAATCGAAGCTCATGAATTATGTCACCTTTTCCCCTTGCCTGGCATAGTTACACTATGTATCATTGATAACATGGGAAGCTATTCAAAGGGAAAGCTAAGACATTTGTCATGCAGCATCTCCAGTCTTACTTTGGTGTTTATAATAAACACTGAAGGGAGACTTTCAAAATGCCGCAGAGGTATCTAGTTAAGATGAAGCAAACATCTCAATGTTACTGTTATTTTGGAATAGAAAAGAGTGATTGTCACCCACAAGCGAGAATGTAGTTCTTTAGAAGGTTCGTCACAGGGTGAGGAACAATGTTTTGAAATACAAATGCTGAGAGCAGGTCACCGACCTGCAGTAAAGAGTGAGCTCAGGCAGTCCAGCGGGGGCCCTTCTGTACTCAGTTTTAAATCTTTATCACCCTAGTCCCTTGAATCCAAATTCTACAAAGTACCTAATTTTTGCTACACATTCATGAGTTTGCAAATTATTAGAATTTTGTTTACCATCTTCTTTAATTTGCTTTTCAGTCTGCTTTTCAGTACGAAGTGGGTATCATTTTAGCATGACCGAGGTCTATATTTATAATTCCATTGCACTACCTATCAGGGCCTGAAAATAGTAATTTTGCTTGTGGAGCCCACCTTGGAATATTCTGGCACAGGGTTTGCTTGGGACAGGTATGGTTGTCCTGTGTTCATTCTGTTATTTCTCACGCCTAGAACTTTTCTCTGCCTACGTTAACTGAGTACACTTTGGGTTTTCAAGAAACTACCAAGTGTCTCCAACATAAAGGTCTTTATGAACTTTCAGCAATTACACACGTACGTTTTAGGGACAACTCGTCTGCCCCGTGTGATTCAGGACAAGGGAGGGGGCCACACCGAGGAAGGGTCTCCTCGCCCTGTCCCAGGAGTGGGCGTGCTCTGTGAGGCCTGAGGGGTATTCGGTGGGGACTTCTTCACACGGGCCCTTTTAGGGAATGGAAAGTGACTGACCTGGTTCGAAGATAATCATGACATGGGAAAGTGTTTCTCTGCTTTTTCCCCTGTAATGTCACTCAAGTGGAGGGAGTTTAGGTCTTTTAGCTCTCAACAGGTGATTTTCCTGGTTGGAATCATGGCCATCTCCAGAATTTTTGATGTTTTTCTGATCACATCTGTTATTTGGCCCTAGTCGTTTTTCATTTTTCTTATACTCAGTGTCGATGGCTGATAAAATACTAATAAAAGGCAGAGAAGTAGTGACTAAAATTAAGGACCTGGGTTTAGTCATCCAAACAGTTTTTGTGCACGTTGTTATGAACTCTTGAAGGTTGGGAGTTGCTTCTGTGAGTAGATTTATAATCTGTCCAGAAGGGACCAAAGATATCACTCAGGTCAGTAGCGCCCTACTGATGCGATGAGGCACAGTCAGCTCTCCAGCATTCTGCAGCCTCTTAGAAATTTGCAACGCAGGTTTGCCAACTGTAGCCTCTTGAGTTTTCTGCTTTAAGAGAATTCTTTTTAATTTTACTTAAATGCAATTTCCTAAACTTGTTTGAGAGGTTTTGTTCTTGTTTTGTTTTGGGCTGCACAGCTGTAAATGTTCCGTACAGCAATCCATAGAATGACCTTGGGACACTATGCAGAGCACCGTGCATCTCTGTCCTGGGGGCGTGCTCCATTGATATGTAGATGCTGGTGTTTAGAAAGCCTTTCTGGTTTATCTGGAGATAAATAACATTTGTGTATTTTCTAAGATTTTTCTTTTGAGTAGCTACTATATACTACGGCAGGTTTATTGTCTTTTTATATTTAAAAAATGTCTTCATTCCAAGGATTCAAGGTTGGTCCACCTTTAGTAGCTATATCCAGTAGCAGTGACTTGCTGCCAAGACCTTCTTGAGCTTCTGGTCAAGCAGCCCTGCAGGAGCTGTTGGCCTGTGTCAGGTGGGCGTAGGGACAGCAGGCATGGTTAGTGCGGTCAGCGCTCATTAGAAGAGTCCTCAGGAAGCAGGCTGGGGTGGGGGGCTTTGAAATCATGCTTCCCATTGGCTTCCTTTTCTAGACTGGCACCAGGGTGTGGTTTGCTTCTTTGACCTATAGACATCTTTTATTTTTTAGGTAAAAAAAATTGAGGATATTTCTTATAGATGGAGGCATGAGTATAGAAATTAACTCCCCTCTCCCCCACAAGAAAAAAGAAAATTTTGGCCTTCTTATATTTTAAAGAGGCTAGTATTTGGAAACAAAGTGGTAGGGTACTTGTGAACCACTATTGAGCTTTCAAAGGCTCCAGGCCGAAGAGGAGTATACAGTGGGTAATAGGTGTTGTCACTTTTTATTGGCAGAGGCAGCGTGTCCTCATACCGGTGTCTCCCCCCACCCCGTGAAATAAGGATCTATGGATACTTTTAGCGGCAGAGCATCTGCGCAAGTCTGGTGGGACGTTCTGTGGTGAATACTGCAGCGCTTTGGGCCTCCATTGAATGGGGTTGGGGACAGGAAGTGATGACATTGAGAAAGTGTGTTCAGGATCTCATGATATGTGTTAACCTAATGTGCACCATGTTTCTTGTGTCCTTTTGAAAATGCTCTTGATTAATGAGCTGAGGAAGAGAACTATTTTTGTGTTTGTTCTTAAGTTCAGGCCTCATTAGTTTTTAAAAGTGTGATGGTTATGTGGTGGTTATAGTTATCTACAAAAATTCATCACAATTCAAATTTTCAAATAAAAGAGGAACAAAAGAAATGGTAAAATTGTCCTAATAGATCCTCATATAAGAATATAATTATAACCTCCATCGTTCATGAATCTTTACTTACTCTGGGCACTGAGATAGTTATTAAAAGAAAAGACATACTTCCTGCCCTTTGCAGATTTTTACTCTAAGTGAATGTTGCTTTGTTGGTTGACTTTGACTTCAATTGTAGTAAATAAAGCAGAGAGAGTGCACTCTTTCTATTTTAAAAAATATACTATATTTTTATTCACGGCCACACAAGTGTTCATGTTGAGTTTTTCTCCCGTATCTACAAACCTTGAATTTATATACCCAATTCGCCGTAGGAACTTAATTTCAGCTTCTTGGAAGTAGTTCTGAATGGTTCTGAATAGCATGGGCCCGCCCCCAAGGCACAGCTTTCCATTTTCACTTTGGATGGCGCCATTTTCTTCCCCGCACTCCCTCCCTCAACGAGCCCATGTGTGCGGTGGGTGTTCATCCCCTTAGCTCCTCTGCTAACATTCTCAGTTTGGAAGCTGGCACCATCAGAAGATAGCCTGTGCTACCCGCTGCGCTGTGATCATCTACAGATTTCAGGGTCATTGCCCTGCGTTCCTCCAAGTCTTTCTTCCCTGGGCTCACCGTCAGTCTGTCCATGGGGCTCCTGTTCCCATTCTTGGAGAATCGGATATCCCTACAGAGAGTCCTTCCAACACCCCCGCTCTCAGCTCCTCAGCCGTCAGCCACCTCTCTCCCCATGAGCGTGTCTTCCCTCCCACAGCTGCCTGTACTGATGAACTTCTTTTCCACATCACACTGTCTGGCGACCACCCCTGGTGTTCAACTCACTTCCTCTGCTCTCCATCTGCAACAGTCCTTTCATTCCTCGGAGACTCAAGTTGGTCTTTCCACTTACCACTCACCATCCTGCCCTCTTAAGCCCTGACAGTTGCTTTTTGTCTTCACTCAGTTTAGAGTCCCTCAGCGGGCCAGCCACCTTCACTGCCTGGCGTCCCCTTGTAACTTCGTTTCCTGTCTATTTCTCCATAGTCCTCCTCTGGCAGAGCCTAATCCTGGTTCCAGTTAATTCTCTACCTGCCCCGCCCCTGCTTTGAGTGGCTGAGTATGGGTAGAAAAAAAACACCGTGAAAGTAACTGCTGTCACTTTAACTTCATAACCGCTCACCTCAGTGCACCCTGTCTGCTGTTACACCCAGTTCATTTTCCTATTTTACATCCCTTCACGCTCACCTGGGTGACCCCTCACATGTTCCTTTCTCTCCTTGGATCTCCAGTGCCTCCCACTCTGTCTTCTTCATTCTCACCTGACTAATTCCTATTATGACACCAAAAGTGAAAAAAATGATATGCATCAGGATGTTAAAATTGCTAAATTAATGAAACAATTAAGTAGGGGTTCTAGAAAATCAAAGAGGGGAAGTATAAGGAAGAAAATGAGTTAAGAGAAACCTATAATTTCACTGCCTACATAACCCTGATTGACATTAAAAAGAAAAAAAATAACTACACGATAGAAAATTCCAACAGTTTGGAAAGGCAGAAAATGAAAGGATATCACTCAGGCATGGCATTTCCTCTCCCCAGAGGGAACCTCTACTAGTGGTTTCCTGTGCTATCCTCCTCAAAATTGTTGTTCACATATATATTTGTGTATTATCTACGTCTTCTTTTAAAAATTATACGGGAAAGATCATGGTGTAGACATTGTTCAGTCTTATCTTTCTTAGTAATCTGTAGACATTTATGTAGATTTTAAGTCAAAAGACATGTCTCTGAATTTTTAATTCAGCATCAACTTCATATTTATTAAGCAAAAATTATGTGCTCATTTTAAAGTTTTATGAAATTATTTTACCCAAATTAGCATGAAAAGCTTACATTGCTTTATAAATTTACTGCATTATTTCTTTATTAGTCTTTTCAGTTTGTTTAGTTATAGACTGAAAAATAGGAATTCAGAGTGCTCCATATTTTTAGTTTTCAAAGATCACATGTCTTATATTAAGATTTTCTCATATTTTGCAGGCAATTTGTACTTAAATTATAAAATGTATGCTTTTAAAATACAGTGTAGAAAATTATAGTGAGATTTGAAGAAAATAAAATCATCCATAACTCCACACTCAAAGACAACCATTGTCAAAATAGTTTTGTTTCCTGGTATTGTTTTCTCTTCTTTTATGCACTTGTGTGTAGAAAAACTATATATACATGTAGTATATTTATATATGACATGTACTGATACATATATATGTCAATTTACATTTTTTCCATTTAACGTTGTATCCTAAGTATTTTCCTGTATCTTAATTTTTTTTTCATATTTTGATGGTAATATATTGTCCCATTTGTGTGAACCATATAAAGTTTGATAATCAGTAACGTTCAGGGATACACAAACACACAAACAAACAACATACTATTTCGGGACAAATGTTTATGTGTGGTAGAGCTATGTTAAAATGTCCGGAATAGGATACATTTCTGATAGTGATTATCTCTGGAGGGATGACAGGCAGGTCGGGAGGCGGCAGCTGGTGCAAAGAATTGGGAATGTCTTAGTTCTTAACTTGAGTAGTGTGTGTCCGGATTTTCTTGGTTCTTTAAAACAAAAAAAAATCTATGTGTATGTTCTTTGATGTATGTTATATATATTCTTTTATAGTTATCAAATATTTTAAGAAAAACCGTTGGACCATGGTTGACCCATTTTCCACTCCAAGCTAATTGCTTATTTGTTTTTTATTCCATGGCCATCTTATGTTTTATTTGCTCTTTGTTACCCCGTACCAAATAGGGCACGTGTGTTGTTCGGTGAGGCAGGGGCAAGAACTCCGTTGCAGCGCCCCTGCGCTCTGCTAGCACGGGGCTGTGCCCGTGCAGGCCTGCAGGCCGGCAGTCCGGGTTTCGTGGGGGCCGTGCTTGCGAGCGCCTCTTCTTGTCTGGAACTGTCAGCCACCCCGGGAGCTCAAGCTGCCCAGGCCTGCCTTCCAAACAGTGTCAGGGACCATCCCGCAAGGAAGCGTGAGCGTGGTGTGTGGGATAAGGGAGTTGGGTTGGGGTAAGAAGGGCCTAGGAGGGACTGGGAACAGTGGTAAGTTTGAAGACAGGCCTTGAACTAAAGGGCTGCCTCATGAGGCAGTTGGCCCTCTTGGTGGCTCAGGCTTGACCTTCCTTCGAGTCAACTGTTTCACCTGGTCAGGCGCCGTTCTCGATGACTGCCGAGGGTGTGAGCCGGTGGGGCTGCTACTGGAAATGGTTATGTATCATAGCAGTTGCATTATTTTCACTCTTGCAGGTTGTCTTTTCTCCGCTTATCTTACTATTTAATTTATTCCAACATTAAATCTTACTGATAGTGATTTGTATGTTTAAAAATGATGGTAGTTTATAATGTATATTATAGTGTTGCATAGGATCATATTTTAAAATATGATTATAGTGTTCATAAAATGTATATAGTACAATATTTAATACCTTTCATGAGTTACTTCCTTAAGCACTGTAGGCAGTTTTGGGACAAAACAATATCTATATCTTATTTCAGAGTTATTTTGAAGTCTTCATTTACTGATATTTTTATTTTTTATAGAGTCATATTAAATCAGTAGACTCAGGAGACACTAACATAGAAGGAGCCATAGGTGAGTAGACCTTAGGACATTTTACATCTTTGATTTGAGGTACTTTGATACTGCGATTTTGAACATGTAGATAAACACCGGTAATAATTAACTGTCTTTTTAGGACCGGTGGCATCCGAAGAATTCATCAAGATCACATTGTCGGTTTTTGAAGCAATAATACAGTATCCTGTTTTATTGAAAGACTATTGCTCTACGGTCAGTCCTGGCAGCTTTTGAAAAATACATCTTTTCATTTATTTGGGGATTCTGTATATTGTAGGGATCTGAGGACCAGTATTTGCGTATATCACAATTTACTTACTTTTGATAGACATTAGGTTGTTTCTGGTTTTTGGCATTTACAAATATTGCTATGGATATTCTTGTTTATGTGTTTTGCTCTGCTTAAACATGCATTACTTTTAGGGTACATACTTAGGAGTGGAATCTGTGGTTATAGGATATATGTAAATTCAGCTTGTGCACAAAATACCTTAGTGTTTTCCAAAGAGGTGGTGCCAGGTCACGCTGACCCCGGCAGTGCAGTATCTGTCTCCTCCTCCTTCCCAGCTCTCACTATGTCACTTTCTAATGGATGCAAGTATAGCAATAGTTCACCCTAGTTTTAAATTTTTGTATGATCCAGACTGTTAGTGAGGCTGAGTAGTTTTTCAAATGTTTTTTGACCATTTGGGACTGCTCTTTTATGACGCGCTTATTGAAGTCTTTATTTTTTTATATTTTTCATCTAAATTTTAAAATTCATTAGCATAAAGAAGTTCATAATGTTTTCTTGCCATCTTTTTAGTCTTTATAATCTAATAATATATCCTTTACAATTTTTGCCACTTATTGTTGTTCTTTTTTTTTCCTTGATCAATCTAACCAGATGTTATTTTTAGTTTCATTAACTTTATCAAAGAGCCAGTCGATTTCTTCCCTGTTTTTCTTAGCTTGGGTATGCTGGTGGCAAACTCTTTGATAAAGTCACTGTTTCTTGAAGGAAATTTTTTCTGGGTATTAAATTCTAGGCTAGCAGTTATTTTTGTTACTGTTTAGTACTATGAAGATATTATTTCCTTGCCCTATGTCCTACATTATAGCCTTTGAGAGTGTAGCTGTTGGTGGTTTTTTTTTTTCCCTGTGAAAATAATTCTTTTTTTCTCCTTTTAAGACTTTTTTGGAGGGGCGAATGGGGAGGTTCTTTAGTTTTCTATAGACGCACTATGATTTAACTAAATGTAACCTTTTATTTATCCTGATTAGGATTCTTTGTGCCTCTTGAGTCTGTGGATTGTCTTTTTTTCATAATTTCTGGAAAATTCTCAGCTATCTCTCCACTTATTCTCTTTGCTTTGTCTCCTTCAGCAACTCAGATCACAGGTACATTGAACTTTTTCACTGTATTTTCTATATATCCCACCTTTTATCTCACTCAGGGTTATATTCTGGATAAATTTGTTTTTATTCTGGATAATTCTGTTTCTGTCTTCTCTGTCCTCCAGTTTGATACTAAATATAGCCATTGAGTTATTTTTTCATGTGTAGAAGTCTGTTTTTTTCAGTCTGCTGTATTGCTTTTTTGGCGTTCCCTGTACGTATTTCCCCGTTGGTGATTTATTCATTCACACCTGTAAGATTTTGTTGTTTTATGTGTATGATAATTCCAGTATCAGCAGACTGATGTATTGTGGTGTCTGTTATAACTTGCTCCTGTCTAAGTCAGCTTGTGTTCTTGGAGACCTTACTAGTGCTTACTGCTTGGTCCTAGGCACTCCCTGAAGCCTAGTGTGCCTGTTCCCTCCTCCATGAGGCTTCGGCTTTGTATTCATCTGGGGCTCTGTCAGTCAGGGCTGTCCTAGGCTAAGGTCATCGGTGCCCATTTTGCAAATCCCTAAGACTAGCATCTGAGGTCATAGCTTCCCAGGGCAGCCTTCTCAGCATTTCCCAGGAGTGGGAGTGTATGTCGAGGGGTCGGTGACTGGTTCTGGTTGCCCTTACCCTGAGCGTGTAATCCCCGCTCCCCTGTGTCCAGCTCCCCTGTGTCCCCTGTTATAAGAAATTATAACATACATTGTTATATGTAGGAGACTCATGAAACTGCGTGCTGGAGAGACCCGCGCCCACATCGCTGTCTCTCGCCCCAGTGGGCCCTTCTGGAGCCTGGGGTTTGTATTATTGGTAAGCGCCTCCAGGATAGTCAATGAATGGTGCTAAGATCATTGGATACAAATGCTCATTCTGAGGGTTGTGTTCTGCTCAGCTCTCTAGTTAAGGCTTTCATTCAGAAACTGATCTGAAAGTTCCCTCAGTATCTTTTCGGATCGTAAGTATTTTTAAGGTTTTGTTATTTTATATTTTATCTGGCATTTTTTTATTGCTTTTAGTGAGAGAGTTAATTCAAATAGTACCCACTCTTAGCAGAAACCCTGTTTATTGTGGTCACCTTCTGGGTAATGTCAGTCTTCCATCGAGATAGTACTTGCTTAAATGTTGCTTACTGATTCTTCTCTAATGAACAATAATCCAATGGATAATGTTTTGTGATCCAGTAGTTATAAAATATCTGTGCTTACATTTAAGTAGACATTTTTTAAATTAATTAATTTATTTTTTCAAATACGTTTGTCTCTGCCTTCCCATTTAATAGTTTATTTTCTAATCATGAAAGGCTACCATAATAATCATAGAAACTATAGTGTGTATTATGATAGGAGCGGTATCATGGCAACTCGTGGGCTCTCTAAAAGTATTTTTTAATGCAATAACTCATGGGAAACCCTCTAATTACTGCTTCTTGATCGTAACTGGAATACATGAAACTGAAGATTCAGCACCCCAAGGAGCATAACATTGTTTGAAATGTTAGCACAACCTATGCTCAAGGTTGCTGATCAATACTTGATTATATGGAAGTGGTTATGTACCTTTACTTCTTGCTGAGCATAAGTGCTTAACTGAGATTTTTCCCAGAGTTTAAACTATTTAGTGCTTCAGAGTTGGAAACTATCAGTGTGGCCTACAGAAAAGTTAGAAATACGAGAATAACTGGATGAGTGCAGAGAATTTGTTCCGTTCATGGTGGTTTCAATGTATGTTATAATAGGAAATGGAAAAATAAAGGTTATTCTTTATTAGAAAATTCTGGTAATAATATACATAAGTCACCTAAAAATATATTTCAATTTCTTTAACTTAAAAGAATAAGCTAAGTCATAATATCTTTTTTATGAAGAGCCTTTCCTTTTGTGAGTTTTTAAAACTAAAGGCTGGAGGTTAATAGATACTGAGTAATTTAACTTTAATTAAACCAAAATTTTGAGCTAATACTAAGAGTTGGCAAGGATGTAGAGCAAATGGAACTCCCAGAGACTTCTAGTGGGAGTAAGCGGGCCCACCAGCTTTGGGAAACTGTTTGGTAGTAGCTACTGAAGCTTAATATATGACATACCATGACTCAGCAATTCCACCTCTAAATACACATTCAATAGAAATGTGAACATATGTTCACCAAAATACATACACAATGGGGCTCGTTCCTAGCCCCCAATGGGAGACTATATAAATGCCCACCAACAACCTAACAGATAAGTAAATTATGATTTAGTCACATGCTGGAATACAGTGCAGCAAAGAAAATGAATGATCTACAGTTACACTTAAGAACATGGTTAAATTCACAAATCTAATACTGAGACAAAGACAACAAAGATAACAAAACTCGTATTAAGTTTAAAAGAGACAAAACTAATCTATTACAAGTCAGGAGAGTGGTTATCCTTCAGGCAGGTAGTGACTGGAATGGGCCGCGAGGGGGCTTTGTAATGTCCTGGTAATGCTTTTTCCTTTCCTCTCCTTTTTCCTCTTTCCCCTCCCCTCCCCTCTCTTTCCTTCCTTTCTTCCTTTCTTTCTCTCTCAAATCTGAGTGCTAGTTACATGAGAGTGTTCATATTGTGAAAGTTAACTGAGATATATATACTTAGGTTAGTATACCTTTGTGTATGCATGTTATATTTAAAAGCCTACATAAATATGAAAATATTTTTAATAAGAAAAAGTATTTAGAGCTTGGTAAATGTAAGGTTTTTTTTGTTTTTTTTTTTTTTTTTCCAAAGTTAACTGCTATGAATTAGTGTATCTATCAATCAATTGATCATTGGTATGGACTGGTATTCTGTGTGTTTTCTGTAGCTGCTGTAACAAATTGCCACAAATTTAGTGCTTTGAAACAACACAAATTTATTGTCATACAGCTCTAGAGGTAAGAAGCACAAAATGGGCCCTTGGAGCTAAAACGAGCATGCCAGCGCACCTGTGCACTTTTTGAAGGCCCGAAGGGGAAAAGCTGATTCCTTGCCTTTCCTGGCGTCTAGGGGCTGCCATCATTCCTGGGCTCATGGCCCCTTCCTCCGTGTTCAGAGCCGGCAGCATAGCATCTTCAGATCTCTCTCTCTGACTTCTGCTTGTGTTGTCATGTCTCCTTTTCTGACGCTGACCCTCCTGTCTCTTTCTTATAAAGACTATCGCTATTACATTGGGCCCGCCAGTATAATCCAGATGAACACCCATCTCAAAAATTTTAAGTTAATCACATCCGCAAAATCCCTTTCACTGTGTAAGGCAACAAATCAACAGGTTTCCAGGACTGGTACATGGGCATCTATCAACATTCTACCACCGATTCCTATTTTTATCATTTTGTGCTCCAGTTACATCAGGTTTGGCCAGGGTAAACCCTTTCAAGTTGGCTCATGTGCCCTTGTGACATACCCTGATACTTTTTTGAGCTATACTTTACTTTCTGGCACAACGAGCTATTCTTGCCTCAGCTTGTTAAGTTACCTTGGCCTGGCCCTGGAATGAGTCATTTCTCTGAGGAGCCCTGGACCCCTTTCTGAGAAATGGCATTAAGAGACCACAGCCATGGCACTAAGGGTACTTCTGTCTCCTGAGATCTCTTAGCTTCTAGGCCCTTCCAGGAAAATCTGTGTATACACATACACACATATGAACACACACATATAACCCACTCATATGCATGCTTATGTATCATATAGGTTACATGCATGTAACATATTTTGGAATCATGAATCCACACCAGTGTCTTCAAATCTATCCCATCCCCAGATAGTTCTCTCTTACCTTCCCGAATTCCGTAGTTGTGTGTCCCTTCCTCCTCTGTCAAAATTCTGGTTTCTAACAACGTCAGTACATTTTCTCATTTGCTTAATCCAAATACATCTGAAATTGTTACAGAATTGCTCCACCTAAATCAATACAGAAACAAACCTAATGAAATGGACTGAGATAAATGAGCCTTTAGTGTGAAATTTATGTTTATCTGGCTGGTTCTCCTGAGCCAGGCTGTGTTTACTGTTTGCTGTATCTTTAAGTTTCAGAGACTAACATTCCCTCCAATGTCCTTGTTTTGTCTCCCCTCCTGTTTTTGGGTTTCCGTAAGAATTCCTCCTTAAAGCCTGCATCTTGCAGCTCTCTCAGTTGTGATCCTGTGTTATTTATTGCACAGGCGTCTCTTGTTAATGTGGTTGGTAAGGTGGGGGGAGCTTGCCTGCGCAGGGCGTCGCTGTGCGAGGTGCTGGTGTCGGGCTGTGGTCATTCTCCTGCCTTTTCATCAGTGTAGAGACGACAAAGATACACTTTAGGATTAGGAATAAATTCAGTTTTAAACAACGGGAATTTTATTGTTGCCAAAATAGTTAATCAAATAAGAGAAGAGATATCAAAATTAGACTGTGAAAGGGATTTGTCCTTTTTTCATTGTCCTTTTTTACTTGGGGGAAAACTTGTTATTTTGGAGGTTTCAAACCATAGGTGATTGCTCTGTGCCTGATATGACTACGAAATCATAGAGGTGGTTTGTATAGTAGATTTACATCTTTTGAATTTGTTTCTAAAGATAGCCAGGATTAACCTGTCATAGTTCTTTGATGTGTTTGACAAAACATGAGGATTATATGTTTCCTTTTTCCCCAACATTTTGATCGTTGTTTATCTTACCCTCACATAATGATCACCAACTTATATATATTAATTTGATGGCTTAATGTCAACCCATGCCAGTCAGATTTTGCATTCTATACTAAAGTTCCCTTCATGAACCATGAAAGTTTGGATTAATTACTGTTTTGATGATACTAATGTCATTTTGACCTGACAACTTTTTCAGAGTTAAGTGAGCTTGAGGGTTTATTAAATGTCGTGCAGACTTAAAATCCAGGATAAATTTAGCTGTTGATTTTTTTCCCCACACTCCTTTGACAGTGATTCTGTCAGTGGGGAAAAAAGCATAGATACTGGTTGTTATCAGTTTTGTGTTTGCAGAGATTTGAACCAAGTCTTTAACTCTTTTCTTTTAGGTTGTGGATTATATCCTGCCACCCTTGGTCTCCTTGGTTCAAAGCCAAAATGGTAAGTGACCCCCTCAGCCAGAGTTCCATCGGTTACCGCTCTGTTTTCCTCCTGTCTCCTCGCAGTCACGTTCCCGGCATTCTTTTCTTTTCAAGTGGAATGGAGACTCTTCAGCTTGCGGCTGCTCTCGGAAACCACATCTCTGCTCGTGAACCAGGAGGCTGGGGATGGCAAGAAGGAGGCGAATGGCGATTCAGGCAGCAATCTTCTGGTTCTCATTAGAGATGTCTTACTTCCCCAGTAAGTACCATGTTCTGCACTCACATGGAGGCGGGGAGTCTGTCCAGGACGCTTCTGTCGGACTCGACGCAGTGCCGGTGTCGGGGTCTCCGTGTCCTTGTACCCGTGCCCGCATGCTTTGGCTCTCATTGTAAGAGAGGTTAGAAGCAGAAGCAGTAACTATTACCTGCATAGGGACCCGGAGAATCTCAGTCCATCTTGCAAAATATCCATTTAAAGCTGCTTCTGTTTTCCTCAGGCACATGACTCTGAGGTTATGCAGAGTTCAAGGTGTCTGTGGCTCCTGGGGTGACGTTTATTATTCAAAGTCAACTGAAATAAGATTCCTGAAAGATGACATTAGGACTTCTCTGGGCCCTACTCAGAAATCATAGAGGTGGAAATCTTCTTCCCTCCCAAACTCCTGGAATGGAAATTAAGTTTAGTTACAAACAGGATTTTTTTGGGAGGGGGGGGTTGGTGGAACAGGTAATGTATGAATTAACAGAAAGAAGTTATCTTTTTCTGTTTCATCACTGACATAGCACGTGGTAGGACGACCGGGGGGGTCCAGTGTCATGTCCGTGCAGTAACACGCGCACGCCTTTCAGCCTGGGAGCCGTGGGCTGTCCCGTGCAGCTGAGGCGGGCAGCAGGCCAGGCCGTCCCCGTTTGTGGAGGCGCATCCTCTGATGTTCACTCAGTGACGAAATCACCTGCTGACGCGTCTCTCAGAGTGGACCCCCATGGCTGGATGTGTGTGTGCTTTGTACCGATGCGGGTAAATATAGAGCTTTGAACCTTATGTCATGGGATTAATTCACGCTTTCGGTGCCATCTGACACTTCTAAACTATATATAATCGTATGCTTTCTGACAATAGGATGCCTAACAATGGGGTTTTGTGCAAAATGTGATTTTTAAAAGGTGCATTTTAGATGCCAACTATCCAACAGCTTGTAGAGAAGCATCTTTCAGGACCTGAGATGTCCCCCCACAGAAGGGCCAGGACTTCCTCCAGCAGGACTTCACAGTATAGTAATAGCTGTTAACATGCGTGCGAATTCGAAATAAAATTTCTCCTTATCTGAAGTTCGCCCACTTTTGAAACAGTTTGTAAAATGAAAGATTAAATCTACAGTTGGGTGTTTGTTTTATTTGTGTTGGAATAAATAATACACATTTCCTTTATTGTGCATCTTTACCGTTTCTAGAGTTGAGGAAACTTTCCTCTGGAAAGAGGAAAATAAAATTGTAAACCTAGTGTCGATGACGTCAGGGTTTTAGAAGCGGCTTGGAATACATTGTGGGCAACAGCCTGGGCGCTGCTGGGCTGCGGCGCGGTGTGTTTGCAAAACTGCGGGCTGACTCCGACGTGAAGTGCAGGTCAAGTGCGCTCTTGGCAGATGTTTAGCGCTACGGCGATTGTCATTCGCGCCACTATTATAATCTCTCCTATTATCCTTTGAAATGAAGATTTTAATGGTGCAATGATAGCAATAGCACATACTTCACAGAAGTGAGGTGGCCCTTAAATGTGTGATGCTGATTGTGCTTACCTGGCACATAAGGTAAGGGCTCAATGAGCGTTATGTACACATTTAAAGAAATGAAAGATAAATAATGCGTTCATTTAACCTTGACTCTTGGAAACCTTGGCAAGAAGTTTGGTCTTTGAAGTTGACTCTCGGTAATTGTAAGTTTAGAAGCACTAATAATGAAAAACTCATGTTCTTCCCTGAGTATGTAAATATAATGTCTTAAAATTATGAAGTTTCTAGAGTTTGCAGGAGCTACATGGCATCTGCTTCAGTTTGGCAAGTGTGGTATCCCCCCTCATCAGCAGGAGATGTGTTCCAAGACCCCCAGTAGATGCCTGCAACGGAGGACGGCCCTGAACGCTAATCCGCTTCAGCTCTGCCGGCGGCGTGGCCGTAGCTTCTCTGTCGACAGATGCAGCCTCTCCAGTAACTGTTATATTTTTCAGTCCAAACCTATTCCTGTATCTGCATAACGACCCTCTACTTGCAGTAACCGGCTTGGGGTCATTCATTTCAGGGGCTCCCTTGCTGATACAGACTCAATACTTTCTGGTGCAACATCAGTTGGAACATGTTTTCTCTTCATGTCTTCCTCCCCCAAATTTAATGCCTCTTCCCTCTTCCCTAAGCACTTACCATGCACTGTGGCTATAACTTTTGTAGCTTGAAATATGATAGCAAAAACGAGCATGAATTTTTTTTCCTTCTTTCCAATTTCACGGATAGAAGATTTGTTCTTACCATAGATCTCAGCAACCACAGCAAACAATTTTTTGTCTTTCCTTATAAAGTTGAGAACTTTTCCCTTTTTCATACTTAAAGGAAGCACTTTACGTCTTTGCTTTGGCGTGTCTGAATCGCCAGCAGCACCACTCTTGCATTTTGGGGCCATTATTAGTAAAATAAGAGGTATTTGAGCACAAGCACTGTGGTACTGAGACAGTCAATCTTATGTCAGAGTCGGCTACTAAGGACTAGTAGGTGGGTAGACTCTACAGGATGGATATGCTGGACAAAGGGCGGTTCACGCCTCGGGCAGGACATAGTAGGATGGTGCAAGATTTCATTATGCTACTCAGACAACACACAAATTAAAACTTCTGTACCGTTTCCAGAATTTTTCATCTTGTGTTACAGGCTGCAGTTGACCACAGGAGACTGAAATTGCAGAAAGCGAAACTGTGGCTCAGGGGGCTACTGTAGACATACTGGTGTCAGTACTTTTTATTTTGTTAATGTTTTAATCTTCTTTTGACCTTAACACTTTGGATAAAGCCTAGCTAACTGTCTTTTCCCGCCTTCCCCATGACCCTCCCCGCCCCCCGCCCCCAGTTTTTACATGAAAGGGTTTTATTAGTTAAAAGAGTGTTTTAATTGCAAATAACAAGTCAACAATAACTCGGAAAATAATTGGTTGTCCACACAGCTGAGAAGCCCAGGACTTGTGCGGCCGTCAGATGAAGCTGGACTCGGGGGTTGGGTTTATTCCGGCAGAGCTGGGGGCTTGTGTTTGTCTCACTTCCTGTCTGCTCTGCCTCCACCTGCCGGTCTTTGTTTTCAGAAATGCTCTTTCTTGTTGGTAAATGGCTCCCAGGTGCTGATCCTGAAGAATGAGTGGATGGATGTCTTTTCTAGTAGCTCTTGCAAAATTTTAAGGAATGACCATTTAACCTCGTTAAATACCATGTGATACCTGTGTCCTGTGTGCTCCTCGGGACTGTTGTGTGGTATGAATGAAAACTCAGTCGTAAGAATAAATATTTCATTAAAATATTAATTATGGTTCTCAGAGAAAGAGAACAAATAGGATGCACACATAGAGAGAGAAAGAGATTCATGGTGAGGAACTGCCTCCCGTGACGCTGGCGGCTGAGAAGTCCTAAGGTCTGCAGTCAGCAAGCTGGAGACTCGGGAGAGCTGGTGGTGTGAGTACCGGTCGGAAAGCTGACGGCCTGGGCGCCCCAGAAAAGCTGATGTTCAATTCAAGTCCAAAGGCAGCAAAAAACCGATGTCCCAGCTGAAGGCAGGCGGAGCAGGAGGAGCTCCCTCTTACTCAGCCTTTCTGTTCCATTTAGGTCTCCAGTTTAGTTGATGAGGTCCACGCACATCAGGGAGATCAGTCTGCTTTACTTAGTCTACTGACTCAAACGTTAGTCTCATCCAGAAACACCCCTGGAGACACACCCGGAATAATATGTGACCAAATGACCACGTATGCTGTGACCCAGTCGGGTGGACACACAAAATTCACTGTTCCCACATCTATCATAAATATCATAAATGACTTACTCTATAAACTATGAATTAATATCAAAGACCTATTACCTTTTCTCAGTGTACGTGCTTTACTTTCTAAGGAGATGAACTTTAGTTACAAGTATTTGTTTAGTGCCCTTTGTACAGAGAAGCTTACAATATCATTTATAGGGAGATGGTATTGGAGTTAGACTTTGGAACCTGGGTAGGATTGGGTGGATAAGGACCGGGCGCCCCGGGGCAAGAATGGGGAAGACCAAGGTGTGGAGGAGGCAGAGAGTGTTGCAGTAAGCACTCCCCCTCCTTTCCAGCAGAAATCTGCAAGTGAGTTACAGGAAGTAAGTTGCAAGAGAGTATCTTCTCTCTTCATGGGCCCATTTGCTCAGTACACTAATTGATTGCATCATATTTCATTGGCATATTTCCTGTTGCCAGGAATATAATGGCCAAGATAGGCCCAGCCTCTGCTTTTATGGAATGTTCTGTGGAGCAGAGCTAAATATTTCAGAAATTAATCATTTTTTTAACTGAAGAAGTTTGTAAGTCATGCAAGTAAAAATGTTTACTTAAATATAAATTAAATAAATGTTGAGGCCATCTGTCTTAAACTGTGGGCCTACTCGATGTTCATAAACCTGCCACAGAACACATGTTCCTTCTGAACCATTCCATGTGCTTACTATTTTTCTGCTTTTGAGTTTCACAATTCACTTACTTAAATTCCTAAAGCTCAGGCTTTCTCAAAATTATATGACCTTAGGATACTCTAGTGTTCCTTTGATCAGCATTTTGAAATACTACTCAAGGGCATTTCCATTAATGCCAGGAAGAAGAAAAGGATGCTCACCCTCAAGTTCTTAACTTTGGATTATAAGTATTAACTAATGTTTATATACTCTGTGGCTTAAATGAACATCTGTTTACTAGGTCTTGCTCCGTAGTGCAGAAGCCTACAGAAATCCAGTGTCACTTGGCTGTCTGCTCGGGAGCTTGTGCTGCTGAAATCGGGTGTCTCTGCTGGGCTGAGCCCTTGTCTGAAGACTGGGAGAAATCTGCTTCCACGCCCACCCAGGCTGTTGGCAGAATGGTTTCCCGTGGTTTGTATTAGTGTATTAGGGGTGCTGTAACCAACGACGACACACTGACTGGCTTTCACCCTTTCCCAGTTCAGGAGGCCAGATGGCCGAAACCCAAGTGGCAGGAGGCTTGGCTCCTCTGGAGACTC